CATATGAACCATTCCCAAAATTGGATAAGCAATTTTTACTTTAAAATAATTTGTCATTAAAATTTTGCACATTTAAAAATATGCATTCTCAAGTGAGCAAGAGCGAGTAATATATTTCCAAATGTTCTCCAACCAAAGGTACGTACCGTTTCCTCCATGCACGTGAACTTTACTCAAAATAGAATAAATACTTATATATATCAATTAGTAAATAACAGATAAAGTGATAATAGATTATCATGTTCAAATAATCTCGTGTCCATGTAGCAAATATGCTATTTGTAGTCACCATACTATAAGATGACAAAATATATTTCCATCAAGTGGCCATAATATATTATAAAACATATTTAAAGGTCCCAATTTATTTCTAAACCATATGTGTGATATATAGCAGTTACTAGAATGAAAAGTCACCACATGAACTTTTCATAGTCATTGGCAGATGTGCATTTAAAACTGTCAAATGAACAAATTAAAGGTAGGAAAGATTTCACCATTTTTTACCACAGTAGCAATTGGAACCATACACGCTTTTGCATGAGAGAAATGAATTTCTTCAATAAAACGTACACAAAATTATTTACAGGCATGTATTTAGTTAAATGGAACTTAATGTTTAATTGTCTCTACAGCAGTCAGCAATTGGCAGAATGAAGTGAATATGAACGGAATATATCGACAGATGCGTGCTGAATTCTGCATATAAACTAACAAGAAAGAATGCCTCAAAACAATTTTGCACAAACCAAATAATATTACTGGACAAAGCCCACATGCTTTGGTTAGGAATCAAATATGAACAATGAAAATTATAACATCACACAGATTCCAATATTTTCATCATGAATTAATGACAGAAGTTTGTGCAATTACGTGTGCAGTATATAATTCCAACCAGGCCCAACGTGAGATGCAATAAACATATTTAAAATTCATTCTACTGCATTCACGAAATTAAATCACAGTTTTGGCTTACCAAATTGGAATTGAGAAGATGAAATGATTATTACCTGTTGGAAATAATACTGTGACTGAGGATATTACTCCTTAATCGCAATCTTCCCATAGCATTCCAATGCCAATCACGTAATTGAAGGAGGCTAATTTACACGATTTCCATTTCATTTACACAGTTTCCATTTCATTGTAAATTATTGATTTGTATTCCATTTATACTATCTTGTAAAGCTCTATATAATGCAATACGATACACCACTGAAATTAAGGTGAATTTTTAATCATTCTTATGGTATCGAGCCACGTGAAACGAGAATAGTCATCGATAAAAATGACATAATAGACAAATCCTAAATTAGAATTAACTGGAGACGGACCCCAAATGTCGCAATGGATAAGATCAAGTGTTTTCGATGACCTATGTTCATTTCGAGAATAAGGCAAGCGATGACTTTTAGCAATTTGACATGTGCAACATAAAGTTGGAGAAGGCAACAAAGATGTAAGATAAAGTTGGCCTTTTTTATTCAATAGAGAAATAACAGAATGATTGACATGTCCAAGTCGTGCATGCCATAAATCATAGGACGCACGAAGCGATTTATTTTTAAGAACAGAAATAAAAGTAGAATGACTTCACTCAAGCACATATAAGCCTCCATCACGCTTGCCGGTTGCCACCACCCTTCCTGTTTTGCGATTCTGTACAGTGAATATGTTATTAGTAGAGGTAACGGATAAAGGAAAATCTGCTATTAATTTACTGATGGAAAGTAAATTCTTGGTAAGGCGAGGTACAGCTAGGACATCAAGAAGATGTAGATTTGGGGTAGGGGAAATTTTACCAGTATGGGTAATGGGTAGTGAGGCACCATTCCCAACAACCACACAATCCTTACCCATGTAATTTGTGGCCTGATCCAATTTAGAGTGATCCATGGTCATATGGGCTGAAGCCCCTGTATCCAAATACCAGTCAGAGCCCACATCTTCATTTAGAGAACAAGATCTGTGAAGGCTTCAGCAAGGTGAGCTGGTGTCTCATTCCGATCATAGCGTTGAAGGCACCGATCGGCAAAGTGGTCATCCATCCTACAAATCTGGCATCTTGGTGGACGACGCCATTGGCTGTAGTTGGAGCGTCCTTGTCCACGACCAGATGAACTGCTGCCACGCCCACCGAAGCGACCCCGATGACTACGAGAAGAGCCACCACGATGGGTGGAATTTTTTGTGACGGTAAAGGCTGTCGCTGCTGGAGAAGATGAGTCAAGGAAATTCTGAAAAATTTCAAAACTTTCGGCCTTTGAGACTAAATCTACAAATGAGCGCAGAGAAGTTTGGGCCATTTGTGCTGTGGAGAAACTAGAGAAATCAGTACCGAGCCCGCGGAGAAACCAGTGCACCTTGTCAGTACCATCAACTGGACAACCAATTGCATGTAGTTGATCACAAATTGCTTTGAAGGAATGGGCAAACTCAACAACCGATCTATTGCTGCGTTTCATTAATTGCAAGTCATCCTTAAGGCGTAGTTCTCGAGCTTTAGAACGTTGACTAAATGCATTTTCTAGTGCTAGCCACATGTCTCGTGCGGTGTAGAGGCCAACTACCTCAGCCATAGCTTCCTCTGTGAGGGAGGAAAGTAACAAACTGAGGAGACGCTGATCAATAGCTTTCCATGCTAGGTATTTGTCACTTGGCGTGAGAGAAGTGGTAGCATCAAGTTTTGGGGGCTGCACAAGGGTGCCATCAACATGTCCTAATAATTCTTGACTTTCAAGAAGAGGGAGGAGTTGGGCTATCCAGAGAAGATAATTTGAGAAGGAAAGTTTAATGATGATCATGTGGATTAAGGTATTGAAAGGAAGAAGGGCAGCAGAAGTTTCAGAAGCCACGAAGGGAAGAAGAAGAACAGGATATGTGGTATGTATATTAAACCACTTGCCTCTGATACCATAAGAATGATTAAAAATCCGCCTTAATTTCAGTGGTGTATCGTATTGCATTATATAGAGCTTTACAAGATAGTATAAATGGAATGCAAATCAATAATTTACAATGAAATGGAAACCGTGAAAATTAGCCTACTATTGATGGTCTCTTCATCAGTCAGCTCAACTATGCACGGGACATTCTTACTCGAGCTCAATTACTTGACAGTAAACATGTTCACACGCCCATGGTTGTTTCTCAACATCTTTCTGCTGATGGTTCTCTGTTTTCAGACCCTACTCTCTATAGATCCCTCGTCGGTGCACTACAGTACTTGACTATCACAAGGCCCGACATTGCTCATGCTGTCAATTCTGTCAGTCAATTCTTACACGCTCCCACTGATGATCACTTTCTGGCTGTTAAACGCATCCTCCGCTATGTTAAAGGCACCATTTACTATGACCTACATTTTCGCCCTTCCACTTCTCCTGGTGCTCTTGTAGCCTATTCTGATGCTGATTGGGCCGGCTGCCCGGATACTCGTCGTTCGACCTCTGGTTATTCTATCTATCTTGGCGACAATTTAGTTTCCTGGAGTGCCAAGAAACAGCCGACTGTCTCTCGTTCCAGCTGTGAATCTGAGTATCGTGCCCTTGCCTCCACTGTCGCTGAACTCATCTGGCTCACACATCTCCTGCATGACCTCAAGATATCCATGCCTCAGTAGCCCACTCTCTTATGTGACAACAAAAGTGCCATTTTTTTAAGCTCCAATCCGATTTCACACAAACGGGCCAAGCATGTTGAATTGGACTACCACTTTCTTCGTGAGCTTGTTGTCGCATGAAAACTTCGTACACAATATGTCCCATCTCATCTACAAGTTGTTGATGTCTTTACCAAGAGTGTTCCTCGACCTCTATTTGAGCTCTTTCATTCCAAACTCCATATTCGATCAAATCCGACGTTGAGCTTGCGGGGGGTGTTGGAAATAATAATGTGATTGGGATATTACTCCTCAATCACAATCTTCCCATAGCATGCCAATGTCAATCACATAATTGAAGGAGGCTAATTTACACGGTTTCCATTTCATTGTAAATTATTGATTTGTATTCCATTTATACTATCTTGTAAAACTCTACATAATGCAATACAATACTACACTGAAATTAAGGTGGATTTTTAATCATTCTTATTACCGAAATCGAACTCATGATGATGGATTCCATCCTTTCATTCTTCAACATTTATTTCCAACACATTCTAGTTCTTTTGCAGAATTGTATCCCATCGAACAATCAAACAAGATGTGAATTTCATCAACTTGATCTTGTCAAAGTGAATACGTTCTCCATTGTATAAGTATTGTTTGAGATTGTTTGGAAATTTTCAACACCGGGGAAAATGAAGAAGAACACCTAAACAACAAACCGAAAATGAAATGCTCAAACACGACATTATATCGTCGTCCTCAAACACTATTTGCCCCCTCTCGATAACAATTTTGATGTTTAAAGGGTCTCGGGACAAACGATTTGTAGGATTAATCAAGACTTGTTGTAGAAAAATATAAACGCACAAACATTTCTCTACCCGAACTTGAAGAACACATAGGGAACGTATGAATATGAAAGAAGAAAGGAATTTTTCTTTCTTGTGGAATAAAATTAATAAGATTCATATGTTGCATTTTGATTTCAATAATTTTATTGATCATCTTATCACCTATTTATAGGTTTGAATCAATACTTCGTGTTGCAATGTTTCCTCCAAAAAACCGCCGGAATTATATAAAATCGACCTCCAACAGTCACTAAATTTCAACCATGCAACTGCATGGTGTAATGTCATGCGGTCGCATGGTTTATGCTAACGCCGGCCTCCAAGTTTCTGTCGCATGGCCTGTTGGCCTATGCGGTCGCATAGCCAAAGTATTGGCTCCCAACTCCTCTTTCGTTCCACACTTGTGTTTATTGATTTATTGAACAACATTTTCCATCACAAAGCATTAACAAAATTCAAAAGAATAAGAAAACAACATCAAAGTCTGATACTTTACAAAACTGAATGGCAAAAAAAAATGAAAAGCAAAAACTTACTTCAGAAGCTCGGGTGTCACGATTTGTGCCATGCCCATTGGCAGCAGAAAATTTCTAAGATAACCTGCTTTCACATCAATCAGCTGTCCCTTTTTCCCCAATTCTGCCACATCATCCTTTAATATTATCTTCATAGAAACAGCGACAAAATAAGTAAGCCACAAACCCATGGTAAGAACTCAATGCAACGGAATAAACATAACCCACTTCATTTTTGTTGTAATTTTCATACCTTTCTTACTTTCTTGGCTTTCTTTTGAGCCACGACCGTTAAGACTGGGGTTCTGTTCGTCAATTTTGTCGTATCAGAGTTCATGTTTTTCGTTAAGCAACGATTGGGAAGCCATGAAGAAGAATTCCATGATAGACTTGTGGACGCCATTTCAAATGTACCTCCCCTTCCTACTTGTTGAGTTCCTGAATTGAAAGTGCAGTTTCCTATCAAAATGCTACTCACCCAGGATCTTATCCGCTGCGGTAATATAGAAGAGAAGGTCCCAATTTTTAATGTAAGTTGCATTTACGTTTCTAAGTCCCAATTTTTAATGTAAGTTACATTTACGTTTCTAACTTTCCAAAATGAACGTTTCCATCTCCAATGTTTAATTTTGGTCCTAAACTCTTTGCTTCCATCGAAGGAGCCACTTGCAGATTCTTGAGTCAACTTTACTAGGGTTCATCAATGCGCCTATGCTCAAAATTATAGCACCCTTACGGAGTAAATTAACTCAGGGGTTGATTATTTCTATTTCTATAGCAAATGTCAACTATTACTTATGACATATTAATGGCTAGTTTCAGGCTCATTTTTATTTTTTTCTGAAATGGCATTTTTCAATAGTATTATGATGAAGAATGTGTGATTAAAAAATAAGAAAACGTATAATATTATTTTATTGAAAAATGTGTGATTGAAGTGGGATCAAATCATTTTTGAATAATACATTTTGATGAAAAATGGGGCTTCAGGTCCATAACAGTTTTATCTTAGGTTATAATTTGCAAAAGTTTTGAAGTATATTCCTGGGAATTTTTGTAAAATTGGATAGATAGAACCCTGAGGTAATTAATTATCGAAATATTACGTGAAATAATTTTAGACGTAAAGTTGATATATTACTTGCACAGGATCCACAAAACTTTGATTTAAAGGATTTTATTTCTCAAAATTTATTTTAAATAAATGGGTTATTAAGTCCATGTTTGGTTTAGATAAAAAATAAAAAATAAATTAGTAGATTTGATCAAAATTGATGAAATGTGTTGTTAAAAATTTGTGAATTCATAAAAATATATGGTTAAAAGTGTTAGCTTTGAAACGATGGAACAAAAAAAGGGCTGAATGTAATCATCTTATTGAAATTTGAAAAAAAATGTTTTGATTCAGCATTAGCAATTTATCTAATGTGGTAGAATATTTCAAATTTCCAACTTAACATTTGATCTCAATTCCGAACATACATTAGCTAAAAGGGAAGATAGGACTCAATGGAGTGGAAGAAGGGAGCTGCACGCACCCGTAAGAAGACAATAAATTTTATTTACCTACATATTTATTTATTACTGAATATGGGGAATAAATATAGTGTCCATTTTGAATAGAACTACCGAAACAAATATATTTTGTTGAATTACTCGACCTAAAAGTCAAAGTTAATAAAATAGAGTTTCATTAAAAATAATTATAGATGCCATATTCAACCTATGAATTCACTGACAATATAATAGTAATTAGGGTAATTAGCACAAAACGTCCCTACCTTTCGTTATTTTATTGAAAATAAATAGACGAGGAGGACCTTTTTCACAATCAGAGGTGAAAGGTAGGGGTGAAAATGCTAAAAAATGAAAGGTATAGACGTTTTGCACAATAATATTGAAAGGTATGGATCTTTTTGTACTAATTATGCCAAAAAAATGAAAGGTATTGGAGGTTTTGCACAATAATATTGAAAGGTGTGGACCTTTTGTGCTAATTACCTTGTGATTTAACGGAACATTTTAATGGGGAGTTGACAGGATGACGTTTTGCGCAAAAAAAAAAAGGTAAAGGTAAGGGTGAGGGTGTAATCCGTCAAAAAACGAAAGGTATGGACGTTTTTCACAAAAAATCGAAAAGTAAGAACCCTCTGTGCTAATTACCCATAGTAATTATAAACATAAGTGTCATATATGATATATAATATATACAGAGCTCATATCTTGTTCATGGTGAGCAAGGATAACAATTGCTCACCGTTGTTGCCACATCAATGATCGAGCTGTATATATATATATATATATATATATTCTTTTTTTTACTTAAAAAGAAAGTATGACCTACTGGAGATGATTTCTAATAATTAATACGTATACAAAAATGGATTCCAAAGTAACATATTTTTGTTGGTTTCTTCTTGAACGTTAATATTCTAATGGTGATCAAAATGGGAGAAAGAACCAAAATGTTGAATTTTTGAACCTCATACAATCTCTCGGGGCTCTACGGAAAGCACAAATTAACATTTTCCACTTTATAATTATATCCAAGTACTGCAATCTATTCCTTGGACAATGCAAATTCTTCCATGTTTTGTTAAGGAATGGATTTTTATTTCGCGCACGTGAGCCATGTTTTGGTCTTTGTTCCCACCAACACTGCCTGTCTTTGCTAGATTTTCTATAGATTCAAGAAAGACAAGTTAAGACATAAAAGGGTGTTTATTTTATGTTAAAATGACCCGCTTGAGTTTTGAAAAGTTCAAACCAAATTCATGCGTGAAGGTTGACGCAATTATAAGATAGCAAGCAAGTGATCAGTAGACTAAATATGTTGAATATTTACAAGTAAATGGTTGTACATTATTATTTAATCTAGCTCTAATACCCAAATACTCTCTCTCTCTCTCTCTCTCGTCCAAACGTAATATCGTTCGCATTTGAGGGAGATCTCAACTGGTGATGAGTTGAACTCGAGGTTGACTTGCCTGCCTCAGGAGATTCACCCTATTCAATTTGTTTATATATTGCTGGCTTTCTGCAGAAAATATTCAGAACATAGAAGAATCCAAAAGGGGGAGATATATTTGGAGGAGAATTGGATTGAAGCAGGCGTTTTTACATGATGATCACGGGGACCACTTCATCGTGTTACCCTAATGGGACACAAGGGTTACCATTATATGGGGTTCCTCATCATCAAGAAGTGGTTTCTTCCTCTCTTGATCTAAACCCATCTGTTTCTTCTACCAATCATGCCAGTTCTTTCCTTTACAATCTGTCTGTTCTTAAGGATAAGATTCATCAGGCGCACTCACTGGGTAGCCTATTTCTAACGTCGGATCATGGCCAGCTACCCGACTCAACGGCCATAGCGTTGCCAACTATGGGCACTTTAATTCAAGAAATCATTGTTACTGCCTCATCTATGATGTATTCATGCCAACAAATGGCCCATGGTGGTGCACCACCGCCGGCAAGCCCTATAACTGATGAGCTGCACCACCAGCAGACGGTGATGATAGATGGCAGTGGTGGTGATTGTGTCGACCATCAAGGTTTCTATTCCAATGACACAGTACTTGATTGGTATGGTGCCAACTACAATAGCAATTCAACTGATACGCCTAAAAAATCTATTGCTGTAACTAGTAATAGAACTGAAGTTTTTGAAAAGGAAACTCCTCAGAAAACAGAAAATAATGAAGAAATAGTGGGGCTTTTGCCGAATAATTGTGATATTATTGAACTAGATGCTGCAGATTTACTGGCAAAATACACACATTATTGCCAAGTGTGTGGCAAGGGGTTTAAGAGGGATGCAAATTTGAGAATGCACATGAGGGCTCATGGAGATGAGTACAAGTCCAGTGCTGCATTAATCAATCCCATGAAAAGTAAAGCGTATTCGAGTGGAACAGATGAATTATTCAACAAATTGCCAAGAAAATATTCGTGTCCACACCAAGGTTGTAGGTGGAACAAGAGTCACAAGAAATTTCGGCCCTTGAAATCCATGATTTGTGTCAAGAATCGCTACAGAAGAAGCCATTGCCCCAAAATGTACGTCTGTAAACGATGCAACAGTAAGCAGTTTTCTGTACTCTCTGATTTGCGGACTCATGAGAAGCATTGTGGAGATCAAAAATGGCAGTGTTCTTGTGGAACCACTTTTTCCAGAAAGGATAAGCTTATGGGTCATGTAGCTTTGTTCGTAGGGCACACACCAGCCATCAATTCGTTGTCCAGGTTGGGAAATGGAGCTCAGAACAAAATCAATTAACTGACAGGTAAAATTTCTGGGACTAATCAAGAACTACTCATCTTTTAGCTGTAAAAAAATCTTGCTTTCTGTATTTGTCGTTGGTGTGATATAGTCTGTACTCTATAAACTTAACTTTAGACTTGAGTATTCATTCTCGGTATGGATTTATGATATCTACAATCGATTATTAATGCATAGAGGTCATCAATTATGGATCCACTAAACAAATAAAAATTGAGAAGAAATATGAATAGAAATAGAAATCAGCTTGAAGTTTTATATATATATTCATGTCTAAGAAATATATGTTCATATACATTAATTAGACACTATGAACTCATTTATAAGAGTTGAAAACTTTTGCATCGTAGTAAGAGTACTACGCAACTATGTGAGAGCTATATAAAATTAAAATTCATTTACCCTCGTCATAATCCTTGTCTCCATGTGTCGTCTGTCTCATGATAACATTCAGACTCGCTACTTGAAGGGTATTATGTAAATTTATTATTGTATCCAAATTTCTGAAGAACCATTACTTTGTCCCGTATCCATGAATGGAAATGATTTTCTTTTTTTCTAATGATAGTATTGAGGCATATGGAAAAACTCAAAAATCAGTAGATGTAACTATTGTTGATCTTCCTTGTAAAAAGAAAAAAAGAAAAAGAAAGAAAAGAGAAAAAAAATGGGTACTTATTGGATCAACTCATCATATAATTTATATTGATTCACCCTTTTATTGCTCCTTTTTCTTTTTTTCTTTTTTGTCTGGCTTAAGCTAGGAGTACTAAATATCATGCCCCTAATTCAAGTCTAGAATCTTAAAAACTTGTGTGTGCTTATATATATATATATATATATAAAATAAGTATTTTCGTTTTTTGTGGCCAACATCTTTGGGTATATGCGTCTTCTTTTCCTGGTAAAACCTGTAGTATTTATGAATGCACAAAGTATAATAAATTCTGAGTTAGGCTTGGTAGTGAACCAGCTCAAGTCAAACCTAGCTACATGAAGCAATTAGTAACACAATTAATTATATACTAATTCTTGGAAAATTGAGGAAGCTCCATATATTGTGCTATTCCCATGAGGTAGGTTTGAAGTAATATTTTTCTTTGTACAATGTAATTCAAAAATTATCGATCGGCTAAATATCGTGGAGAAACAATTTATATTAAGTAGTTTACGTGTATTGGACTCCTATTTTGAATGAATCATATCTAACACCTCTGGTACTACAACACTAATTTAGATGGTATTATATATGATAAATCAATTGATGTAAAATTATGTTACTAATTTAATAGTACATTTTATTTTATGTCACCCGCTATCACCTAAAAGAAAAAATGACACTTTTACATTTAAATGTCAATTATTCTTTCTTTTGTTGGGTATACAACTTTTGAGGTAAATCTTGAAGTTTTAATAAAATATTCATTTTTGAAAGATAGTTGATTAGTTTGCTAGGCACTTCTAATTGAGCATTACCAAGTAATAATTAGGTTTGATGAAAATTATAATATTAAGAATATTTTCGGCAGTTTAAATTAAAGGCGGCCATTAACTAAGGGTAATTATATTTCGATTGTACTATATATACATAATAGTTTACATAATAATTCACATACATATAATGTCGTGAGATATAAAGAGCATATTGAGTATTTAAAAAAATTTTACTCTCTAAATTATAGAATATACTCTTTAAAAATGAAGTCTCTTGGAAATGCTTTGAAGGTGAAAAACTGATACTAGTTTAGTTAATATTTCTAATTATTTTCCAATACATCGAACAATCTTCGATCTCATTTCAAGAATTTAATATTTTTTCTCTCAAAAACAAGATGCAATTATTTGATTTTGTACACATAAAATCATCAAAATAAAACTTCGTGGCATTATTGGTGTTCCCAATTGCATGTTTATGAAGTGATTAAACTAAAAATTAAGTAATTATAAATTTTATATTCTAGAAAATATGTAAATAATAGGTGAATAGTAGTCATGAATTTTATGAAATATATGAATAAAAATTATATTCAATCAAAAGTGATTATAGTTAAATCGGTTCCTAAACACGCACTAGCTTTTTCCTTTTCAAATTCTCACTTCAATAAATGAGATTTACTGCTTCGGAGTGCCCGAGGTACATACTTGTGTCTGAATTGTATATGAAATAGAATAGCATAAACAACTTGTGATGAGATGTTATGAAAGCGTATTAAACAAAATCGCATGTAAAAACAAATTTAAATAAAAAAAATCGGAGAAACTAACAATTTTAGCAATTTTTAATCAAAATCATTCCAAAATCTCGACCACATAAATTAGGCTTGAATTGTAATCTCTTGCCCAGAATTTGTCGTCCCTTCAATAGCAAATAATGATAAAAAGATTATAGAAGTGATTTTAATTCATATCCATCTTCATCATTCTACTGGATTGAAGAATCTATGTTGAATTAAATCCGTTTAATAGAACAACTCATTGAACTTTTTTTTTTTTTTGAGAGCCCAATATTGAATTTTTGTATATTACTTCAAAAGTAATACATATTAGTTCAAAAAATTATAAATTTATGTGAAAAATTGTTATATTAAAAATTTATACCAAACATGATTTATAAACATAAGCCCTTGTTTGAGCCCCATTTTTTAGGAAAAAATGAATTTTTGAATAGTGTATTGATGGGAAATGTGTGGTTAAAAAATAAGAAAAATTTTTGGATTTAGGTATAATATTATTTTATTAAAGAATGTGTGATTGAAATAATTGGGGCCGTTTAAGCCCCATTATTTGTAGATTATGGACCTGTTTGGGCCCGAATTTTTCACACAAAAAATTGATTTTTTGATCGTTATTTCATTATTCCAGCCGTCATATTTGACTTCTTCTCTCACAGGTGGACCCCACTTTTCTCGTAACGGTCAAAAAATCAATTATCAAAATCACTCACAAACAGCCTCTATAATGAGATAAATAGTATTTTTTTGAAAAATGAGTTGTTGAAAAGTTTTTGATTTACATATAATATTATTTTATTAAAAATTGTGTGGTTAAAAGTAAGAGAGAGAAAAATTTAATTTAATATAATGAGAAATAATGGGGCTCAAATGAGAGCAATGTCAAAATACTATAGAAGAATGTATCTTTTTTAAATAATGGGCTCAAACAAGCTTTTGCCTGGCGCGGCAAATGAACAAGTTTAAAATATGACCTCAAATTGAACAGCGCGCCCAAAGTATCCAGTCAGTTCGATAATCAAATCTAGTCCATCCAATATCACTTCCATCAACGGATCACAATAAAAATCTTGACCAACCCCCTATATGAAATCTTGTCCGTCCATTGAAAATTAATCAACGGTCTAAATATACAATCTGAGTCACTCCATACCCACTAATCAGATATTTCATTTTCCAGTATTTGAAGGCCCCAATCCCCTCACTCCCTCCATCAATTCTACGCTCCAACACTTCCTGTGAAGGCACCAAAGAAACAGAACTCCAATTTCTTTTCCAAAAATGGCACCAAAGGGAGAGAAGAAGCCTGCAGAGAAAAAGCCGGTGGAGGAGAAGAAATCTGCTGTGGCGGAAAAGGCCCCGGTAGCTGAGAAAAAGCCCAAGGCAGGGAAGAAGTTACCCAAGGACAGCAGTGCAGCTGCCGGAGATAAGAAGAAGAAGAGATCCAAGAAGAGCGTTGAGACTTACAAGCTCTACATTTTTAAGGTGCTGAAACAGGTTCATCCTGACATTGGGGTTTCCAGCAAAGCCATGGGAATAATGAACAGTTTCATTAACGACATTTTTGAGAAGCTAGCTCAGGAGTCGTCCCGTTTGGCTCGGTACAACAAAAAGCCCACAATCACTTCGAGGGAAATTCAGACTGCTGTGAGATTGGTACTACCTGGAGAGTTGGCAAAGCACGCAGTATCTGAGGGGACTAAGGCTGTGACCAAATTTACTAGTTCTTAGGTTTGGAAAAATTGTGTTCCAGGGATGGTTGTAAAGGGCTTGTTTGGAGTGGCTGTTTTTGTGGATGTATCAAAAGATGTTCTTTTGGCCTATGGTTAAATGCTGAATGAAAAAAATTATTAAATCTTTTGGTATTCTCTTCTATTTATAGATAAATTTAAAACTTCTTCTATGATTAATCAGGATATGTTTTCAATTGAATTTGAAATTAGTTCTAGCATTTGGTGTGTGTGTCAATCACAATACTCTATTTGTTGCATAAAATTTCCCACGTTCAATGGTGATTTTTTATGTAAACGTTCATAATTTGTCTTTACTGTTGAGTAATCGATCTTGGCACCATTGATTACTCATACGCGTTTACCTGTGTTCTGCAATTGGAGCCCGGCAATGGATCTCTACAAAGAAGTCGAATTAATGAATTGAACTTCATTTTAGTACTTCGATTATGTAATTTAACAGAGATCACCATGAAATGAACATTGAGATCTTTATGTTACAATCTCGGTTCTTCACAGGTTCAAATTCTATGAACGGGAGTGTATCAAGAAATTGTCTCCATAGGCTTACCAAGAACGCTGCATATTATGTACAATCATCACTCATTTCTCTACAACGTTATCGTTAACCTTTAAATTCCTATCTTGATGACTATTGCTCATCCGAAAGTCAATCAATATCAGCATGCACATAATCAATAAACACAAAGTTCTTCTGGATTTCATAAGCAAAGTAAGCTAGGCCTGCGCTTAAAATTGCAACTGCCCCCAAAATAACCCGTATTTGCACGTCTGGAGGAATCCCTGCTGTTGCAGAGCAAATAACAGCTGCTCCAATCAAGAACTTCTGCAGTGTCTGGAATGTTGTGAAAGCTTGCTTACATGATGAACATTTCAGCGTGTGCTGCTCATACCTATCCAACATCTGCGGAAAAAGACAAATTTTACAAAAAAAAAAAAAAAGAAAGAAAGAAAAAAAAGGCAATTAGCAACGAATGCAAATCATTTAATCTATGCAATACAGAAATTTAGAAACAAGTGAAACATGAAAGCTAAGAAACAAACTTTGCACAAAAAAAAAAAAAAGGAGAAGAAGAAAAAACACTAAGAAAAAGTTGATTATGTGATATATATAT